CACTTAGGCACTTTTAAAAATAACATAAATCCACGTGGTTTTTTAAAGAGGGCATAAAAAACTATATGCAAATTAGATATAAATATGCAAATTGTGTCATTAAATAATCTGCATAAAATGTCACATGGAGCTACACAAAATTTGACAGTTATGATGAGGGTTTTAATAGCATGAATATAGGGGGGCTGATTTCCTCTGGAATGAGTTATGCAGGTCACCCCACACACACACATAAAAAGGTCAAGATTTAAAAAATTTACTCAAAGAAAAGGAGTACTTGTGGCACCTTAGAGACTAACCAATTTATCTGAGCATGAGCTTTCGTGAGCTACAGCTCACTTCATCGGATGCATATCGTGGAAACTGCAGCAGACATTATATACACACAGAGATCATGAAACAATACCTCCTCCCACCCCACTGTCCTGCTGGTAATAGCTTATCTAAAGTGATCATCAAGTTGGGCCATTTCCAGCACAAATCCAGGTTTTCTCACCCTCCGCCCCCCCCCACACACACACACACAAACTCACTCTCCTGCTGGTAATAGCCCATCCAAAGTGACAACTCTCTTCACAATGTGTATGATAATCAAGGTGGGCCATTTCCTGCACAAATCCAGGTTCTCTCACCCCCTCACCCCCCTCCAAAAACCACACACACAAACTCACTCTCCTGCTGGTAATAGCTCATCCAAAGTGACCACTCTCCCTACAATGTGCATGGTAATCAAGGTGAGCCATTTCCAGCACAAATCCAGGCTTTCTCAACCCCCCCTCCCCCCTTTCTTTTTCCCGGGGACACACACACACACACACACAAACTCACTCTGGAGAGTGAGTTTGTGTGTGTGTGTGTGTCCCCGGGAAAAAAAAGGGGGGAGGGGGTTGAGAAAGCCTGGATTTGTGCTGGAAATGGCTCACCTTGATTACCATGCACATTGTAGGGAGAGTGGTCACTTTGGATGAGCTATTACCAGCAGGAGAGTGAGTTTGTGTGTGTATGGGGGGGGGGGGTGAGAAAACCTGGATTTGTGCTGGAAATGGCCCAACTTGATGATCACTTTAGATAAGCTATTACCAGCAGGACAGTGGGGTGGGAGGAGGTATTTTTTCATGATCTCTGTGTGTATATAATGTCTGCTGCAGTTTCCACGGTATGCATCCGATGAAGTGAGCTGTAGCTCACGAAAGTTCATGCTGAAATAAATTGGTTAGTCTCTAAGGTGCCACAAGTATTCCTTTTCTTTTTGCGAATACAGACTAACACGGCTGTTACTCTGAAAAAAATTTACTAGTAATTTTCAAGTGACAAGTGGAAAACTATTTGTCTTTAAGATGTTTCAAGTTAGGCACCCAAAAATTGGGGCACTGAAAATTAGATCCCATTTGAAAAATCTTTGCCTTCCTTTGTAATGGGTTTCTCTCCCCAGATAACTGGGGTGCAATTGAAAATAGGCTTGGGGATTGGAAAAAGAGTGAGAAAGTGTTCTTGGGGTGGAAGTGCTTGTATTTAGCTGTCAGGGAGACAGACATCAATGTGTGAGGAGTCCAGCTGGATTAAAAAACTTGTTGGTTTTAAAGACAAGATAGCCTGGGCTCATTTATTTGGATCCCCTTGATGCTACAATGTATTATCTTGCTAGCTATGGAATTCATGATGACACAGAGCACTATAAAGAGATTTTAGTGGGGTGGGGGTAGAGGTTTAAAATGTATTGGTTATAGTTTTACTCTCCATCTAAGTCCCACCGAGTTACACTCATGGTAACTTGGCCACCCAGCTTTACAGAGTTTACTAACTACTTTAGGCCAATTTGTTCAAGCTTAAAAAATAGAACATTTACTTTCTGAATGTCAAAAGCAGATGGAGATCAAATTTCCCACTGCTATATATAAACCGTGATATTGTACTTCAGATAATAAAAAGTAAGGAAGATACTGTGACATGCTAAGGATGCAAAAAACTAAGAACATTGGACATCATATATCAAGACTCCCACATGAACAAACAAAATGCTGTGTCAGCTAGTGTGTGCTCAATCATGTTCTCGATGCCATTATATTTATTACCATATACCCATGTAATAAGCAGTGATCATGATTTAAATTTAGAAAATAAATGTAAGATGAAATATACACCTAATATGTCCCAGGGAATAGCTCTGGCATCATGTACCTCTTGCTAATTGCCATTCTAGTGAAAAATAAAGCATACAGAAGGGCAGAAATCACCATGCTACTAGGCAGTGACAGTTAGCAGCATGGCAGCATGAGTGAGATGACAGGGTAGATTCAAAATGGTCACCACCGCACCATGACTGTTGTCTCAGATGCATTTGCATGCACCATGGTTCCAATGCTGATTTCTGCTGTCATCATGCCTACCAGGACAAAAGATGCAGCCTAACTTTTAAAGCCATATGTAGGCCTGGACCTAATTGCCTTATTAACGGTTTGTCCACATGGCATCACAGTGTAGACTATGGCGGTATGAATTTCAGAGTGCACCAAACTGCCCTGTATGGACATTGCTGGCATGAACAAAAGGTATCTAGTTTGTGTTAATGTAATCCTCCTTCAAACAGGGTTACATTATTGTGAACTACATTCCTTTCAGTTTGTGCCAGCAACGTCAACACAGAGCAGTTAGCGCACAACACTTTGGTACACTCTTCAGAGTAACAGCCGTGTTAGTCTGTATTCGCAAAAAGAAAAGGAGTACTTGTGGCACCTTAGAGACTAACCAATTTATTTGAGCATTATCATACACATTGTAAGGAGAGTGGTCACTTTAGATAAGCTATTACCAGCAGGAGAGTGGGTTTGTGGCAGGGGAGGGGGGAGAAAACCTGGATTTGTGCTGGAAATGGCCCAACTTGATTATCATACACATTGTAAGGAGAGTGATCACTTTAGATAAGCTATTACCAGCAGGAGAGTGGGGTGGGGGGAGGTATTTTTTCATGCTTTGTGTGTATAAAAAGATCTTCTACACTTTCCACAGTATGCATCTAATGAAGTGAGCTGTAGCTCACGAAAGCTTATGCTCAAATAAATTGGTTAGTCTCTAAGGTGCCACAAGTACTCCTTTTATTTTTGGTACACTCTGCAATTCATATCCCCATATTCTGCATTGCAGTGTGGTGTAGACACAGCCTTATTAGTTTCTGATACCCTATTTACTCTCTCACTTTCTGAGATTGCTGCATTTGATCCCAAATGTTTGCATGAATGGTACAAGTTACATTGTCACTAGTGGCCCTGCGAGCAGTAATAAAGATTTAGCGGCTTTTAAAGGAGTTTAAAATACATTTTATTTTTCTCTTCAAAGGCACTTGCAATTGCATGGTTCAGTATGATTCCAAGCTTGTCATGGCATAGCAAATGAGAAAATGAGGAAGTACAAGAACAGCATGTTTATATCAAATATCTCAACAAACCCAGGTTCCTATAGGTCACCTAAACCACCTAGAATGTTAAAACTGTTGGTGCCCTTGTTTTGGGTTTGATAATTTTTTCTGTATCATGGGGATTGTGTTAAGGGGAAGATCTTCAGTGGGTCAGTAAAACTCAAAATAAAATTATGCATGCAAATCTGTTTTCTGTATACATAATGATGTGCCTGCAAAACTCGCACAGGCAGTTTTAGGAACTGCTGACAATCTGGCCCCAAAGTTTAGTCAAGAGGTAGGATTGTAAATTTGAGGTTTGCCAAATTAGAATGCAGCACTCTAACCTGTAAAATAAGAAACCCATTAAATTGGAGGAGAAGATTTCTAAGCCAGTGGTGGGCAACCTGTGGCCCAGGGGCTGCACACGGCCCATCAGGATAATCCAATGGCAGGCCACAAGACAGTTTGTTTACATTTGCACTTCTACCTGCAGCTCCCCTTGGCCGGAAACGGCAAAACGTGGCCACTGGGCACTGTGGGTGGCTATGCAAATGTAAACAAACTGTATGGTGGCCCGCCAGTGGATTACCTTGACATTGGCTGTAGGTTGCCCAGCAGTGCTCTAAGCACACATTCAGTATTTCTCATATATTCTGATCAGCTCATTTTCTCTTTATCCAACCAGGAAGATACTCTTTGTATCTAATTTATTAGAATCAAGGAAGAATAGTAGGTAAAATGGAGATATCTAAGTAAATATAAGGTGAATCAAACTGTATAGTTTGAATATTAGGGGATAGAATACATGCATAATACAAGTAAAGCATCCTCCACCAAGGAAGGGAGAAGACTCCAGGAAATCCACTGGAGAGCTTGAGATGCAGGCCTAATTTAAGTGGGAAATACCCAGATGCTTTGTTGCTAGGTGCTATACTAATCCCTCTGATGGACGGAAGTTATTAGTATTCAGACTTCTGTACTGTGCTACAGTACTGGCCTGGCGGTTGTCAGGTCAGTACTCAACTCTACTAGACCTGTATTCTATTTCTGAATGAGGCAGTGGTGAGAGTTCTACAAAGACAGCATGCTCAGCCCATGTTGAGAGAGCACCTCAAGATGTTCTTCAGTGAATTTATTAGTCACTCTAGTTCTGGCACTCAGACCTCCAGCTGGGAATATCTGCCATAAACACCAGGATTGGTGTCATCTTGGCCCCACTGTCGTCAATGACAAAACTCTCACTGACTTCAATAGGGTCCGGATTTTACCTCCAGCTTCTTGGGAAAGTGGCATGAGATCTTTTTTGACCATGGGTAGTCAGTATCTATATCTCATCTGACAAATGGCAACTTCAACTGTGGAACTCGAGCACTGATTCAGTACTCAGTATTCAGAATGTTCAGTTACCAACATAATACTCAGTTCCCAAAATCAATTCCTACAGTAAGTGGGGTTTTCTTTGGAACCCTCCCTTCCAAACACTGACCAAGCCTTGCCTTTATGACTGCTTACCTTATGACATCTGATGAGAACATCCTTACATTAATAAGGTACCATGCTGTGAAGAAATTAATTTAGTATCACAGATATATTTCTAGATGTTTACCTTAATAACAGATGTCTCGACTCTGGATGGGGGACTCTGTACTTGTGCTGCTGCTGCCATATTTGCAATGGTACTAAGGTGGTTCATCTGACTCATGGCCATTGTGACAGATGCTGGAGGTAGGCTGACAGGAATTAATGGGTGGGGCATCATCATAAAAGGAAGTTCCAGGCCTAAGAAAAAAAAAAACAAAAGGCAGGAAATATTGGTTTATGATGTTTTTTAAATATTGACTATTAGGAATATATTTTCTTATGAGCAAAATATGTTGAAATGCTTGGCACCAAATGTGTTCAAAAATGAACTCTTCCAACATTTCAGTATAGAGCAGTTAACATGAATCTGTTCACTTTTTGTCCATGTGTAATTCCCTCTAGTATCCATGGAGGTCTTATATGCACAGGGAGAGGCTAACAGGCCCCTTAGTTTGTTCAGATCAGTGTAATGTTGTACCATATCATTGCTAAGCAATCGTTGTTCGTTATATTGTCCATTTTAATACTTGTGGCAAGGTGTCTTAGCAATAATTATAACACTGATGCACAGGTTAATAGCTAGTTAAGTATCAGGTTTACTGTGTTTGTTTTTTTATTTTTTTTATGACTCCTACTTCCACTGCTGAATACTTTAATTGAAGTATTACAGTATTCACCATGTTTTTTATTTTGCATAGCCTATTTAACTAAACACAATAGAAAGACAGAAGTTTGAAAACCACTGATGTTAGTGTTGAAAGATGTCAACCCGTACCATTTGGCAGAAGGTGGTTCTGTTGAAGAGGGTTGAGAGGATGGCTAACTGGAAGGTTATGCTGTCCAGGCAAGCTGGGATGGTTAACAGACACCTGTGATCCTTGGGTGAGGGGAGACTGAAGTTTTTCTTTATCCCAAGAACCATCACTGCTGCCTGTGGGGAATGAATATAAATTATTTGGATGCAGGAAGATTTCAAATTTGCAACGTCTGAATTTGAAATCAAGGCCACCAATTTAACGCATTTTGTGATTGACAAATTAGTGTTTGTAATGTATGGGTTGGGCAAGGGAGGAGGTTTGTTTTCAGTCAATAGAAAGAAAAACCACCTTAACAGATAGGTAAGGATAATATTTGCAGTTTATAGTTAGAAACATGAACTTATGGATGTTAGGATTGTACTAGTTCACTTGGAGAGGTGTATACACTTTGAATTCTTAATCTTTGGCTAGAAGAAGAGCTTAAACAGTACAGTTCCAGTGAGAAATCAACAATGTATTTTAATGAATGATAAATATTTGTTATATTAACAGTTTTACTTATAGTTCTGTAATTCTTAGTAAGTAGAACTTGAGAGAAATATACCAATTGTTTTATATGTGGTAGAGGGTGTTCACTTATAAAGTTTTCATTGTCTGATTATGGCTATATTAATTATGTTCATATTTGTTCTTAAATTTTGGTATTAAAATAAAACTAGACAGTAGTTAAAATTTTTACTCACTGATGGCATCAACAGACATGCACTCTTGTGTATGGTTAACATATTGCAATATTAGATAGTCAATTTATATTTCATTCCATTCAATATAAGAAATTATGAGTCCAATCCTGCAAGTCCTCTTCTTGTGGAACCCCAGAGGGAGCAAGAAATGATTTGGGCCAATATGTACTGACTATAACTGTATTTTACGTATCTGAGAAAACAGATTTTTCACTACCGTGAACATCAGCACTTTTCAATATAACACAGTAAAACAGAATAACACAGTTAAAGAATGGTATCAGTATTTCATTTATATGAAAAAGTTATTGATTTCTACATTATGGAAGTGCACTTTAAGTGACCTCTAAACTGAACAGGTCTTTAAAAAACTATATGTCTCTGAGAATATATATAATATGCTACCCTATCTTGAACTTCGTAATCAGAAAGCTCCAGTGACTTCAGTGGGAATAGTTTATATGAAGTTCAAGACTGGGCAGCATATTAAATGTATTCATATATTCATTTAATAGGCTGCCCAATCTTGTAAATATTATATTAAAATGTATTTTGTGCAAATTTTCATAGTACTTTTCACAATTATCAGATCAACAGTAGGGACCCTCTAATTTCCATTGTCTTTAATAGGAGTTGCATTAGCCCATTAGCCTTACCATTTTAAAAAAATACTTTTACATGAGATGACAAAAGCACAAAAGTTGGTCAAAGTCCAATTTAATTTCTCTAGATTTATTAAAAACCTGATTGTAAAAGCTATATAACATAGTTTATAATGAAAAAATACTCAGTTATGGCCATTATTTTCCTTCCCCAGCTACTTCATGAAGACAGTTAAGGTTCAATATAAATTCTAATTCATTAGCTCAATACTGTCTAGATCCCAGTGTAAATTGTTCAGGAGTAGGTAATGAAAATTCAGTCCAAAGTCTCCAGCAGTCAAACAGAGAAATTTTATTAAACAATGAAAATAATCAATTAAACCAGATATCTTTATTGTCTTTATCCTCTTTATCATTTTACAAGAAATTCTGACAAACTTTATGAAATGTTTATACTTAGTTTAAGACTGAGCTTGCTAACACGACAGATTCTTAGGACTTGAGCCTCTGATAGGTGGGCATATCACCATGCCTTTTGGAAAGTCAGATACCTCTGCACAATAGGAAGACCACGGGTGAGACTGAGTTTTCAGTCATTATTTGGAAAAACAGCTTGCTTATTATACCTTTGTTTCCCCTAGTTTCTTTCCCTATATTATCTGCTTATTGCAATAATGACAAACACACTTCCATCCTGCATGTTCATTTAGTGAAGAACCTGACTGATATGAATAGATTCAGACCCCAATGTCTCAATTCTGTACTTGTCTACATACACTGTAACATCTTTATCTTTGATTTTCATAAGCCCCAAACAAGGCTCCATAGAAAAAAAAATACAAGAAGAAAAGAAGACAATACAGATTTTTGTAAAACTTAATTGAAACCTGGATCAAATTACTCCAATTTTATATAAAGTTCTCATATTACCAACAAGTTCACATTTTAATAAATCCTTTCTACTGATTTTTTCCACTTCCCCACCAAAACCAGCTGTTAGTCCAGGTTAAAAAAAAAAAGAAAAGAAAAAAAGACAGATTTGTTAAGAAAAAATGCAATTTCTTTTTGCCAAAATGTAACCTTTGCCATAGGAAAGTGGAAACAAATCGAAGCAAGCATGTTAAGGTTTTCACTCTACAAATGGAGGGAAGTTTTCAACATTTCATAGACATAACTCTCATGAAAGGGTCAATTTCATGTCAGGTCCTGTCTAGCTCTGGGGTTTGAGGTGAGGCTGGATAGAGACCTACAGATCTGTGGATATCCGCTTTATATCTGCGGATATCCACGGACCATGTTTGAAGATTGTGGATTGGATGCAGATACAAATTTTGTATCCACATAAGGCTCTAAGGATGGAGTCAAAATTAAGTTACTACAACTGTTATATTGTTTCCTGACTTCTCCAGAATTTGGCAAGGTCATCCATAGTATTTCTGGTTATGGCATTTCATATGTAGTCAAAGATGAGAACCTCTGCATTTGAGTGGGCAACAAAAATGATTAGGGGACTGGAACACATGAGTTATGAGGAGAGGCTGAGGGAGCTGGGATTGTTTAGCCTGCAGAAGAGAAGAATGAGGGGGGATTTGATAGCTGCTTTCAACTACCTGAAAGGGGGTTCCAAAGAGGATGGCTCTAGACTGTTCTCAATGGTAGCAGATGACAGAACGAGGAGTAATGGTCTCAAGTTGCAGTGGGGGAGGTTTAGATTGGATATTAGGAAAAACTTTTTCACTAAGAGGGTGTGAAACACTGGAATGCGTTACCTAGGGACGTGGTAGAATCTCCTTCCTTAGAGGTTTTTAAGGTCAGGCTTGACAGAGCCCTGGCTGGGATGATTTAACTGGGAATTGGACCTGCTTTGAGCAGGGGGTTGGACTAGATGACCTTCTGGGGTCCCTTCCAACCCTGATATTCTATGATTCTATGATTCTATGAGTGCACCTTATACCTCAGCACTACATGTACCCATTGTTTTCAGTTTCATCAAAACCAATACTGTAATGAAATGAAGGAGACACTGGTATTAAAGCTAGTGCTTAGTCAGGGATTGATACTTTGATCCTTGAAATCTAACATTGTCTGCCAAGATTAGTTTACTATCAAAATGACTCATAGCCAGTCTCCAACCCATAACATTAGAAACCACTTACAAGGTACAGCATCTTGCACTCTTAAACATCTGTAAGTGGATAGGCATAGATACAAATAGCAAACATTGGCCATTTGCTGCATTTTTGTTATGGTAGTTAAGCTCAACAGCTTTCCTCCCAGAGGAGATAGTTATTTTCATTTATGTCTAAGTAAAATAAGTGTTACCCCTCAGACAGTACTCACCCTCCGAACAACTAAGTGCAAGCTGCCAATTCAGTTGTTTTTTTAAAAATTGATTAAAAACCATACAGTGGTTTCAAAAAGCTTTAAAAAATCTGTTGCCTACTTCCTCGCTACTTGTTGCCCTGCTGGAGGCTTATGTTTTCCAGTTTCTATCAGTGGTTGTAAACTCTTTGTAATAGGATTAAGAGCTTGGACACCTGATATCCCTGGGTTCTGTAGTTCACCCTCATAAAAGCTGTTTGCTTTAAATTGAGAGAAAATCAGTTTTTAGTGGCATAATTAATTACATTATGCAAATTTCCAGATTCAGCATAACACTTTGTGAAATGACAACTGGTAGCTCCACATTGCATTTTGAGCTGCATTTCAATTGATGCAGCACTAACCACAGAGTAGTATTTTCAAAGCTTTTCACCACAGAGGATCCAATGCAGAAATGTGGACGGTGAACTTTAGGTGCGCAAGTCCCATACATGGGCACTGATATAGGCTCTTTGGTAGCCTTTATATTTTATGTGCCCAAGTGCCAACATAAGCACTCAGAATGTGGAATTTGAGTTCCTAAAGTAGATGAGCACATTTAAAAACTGGGTTCAGCATGTTTCGTGTTTATGTTCAGTTTGTCTGGTACAGCAAAAAATATGATGCTATTCATTGATTTCGAAGACTAACAGTTAGATACAGTGTTTCTCCACTAAACAACATTTTAGCACAGATTTCTTAGAAGTCTATTTCTCCCCCAAACTCTAATTCAGCAACAAGCCATAATTGTACATTAAAACACGGTTTTTATAAAATACACTTAAAAATAAAACCTGATGGCTGAATTATTTATATCTGTAACCATTAGCACCAGTAAATAGGGATGATAACATATGAAAATAATTCTGACTGTACACCTTCCCTGTGAGATGAAATCAAATGCATAAGCAACATGCAGTGAAAATACAAAAAAAAAAGAAAAGAAAAAAAGAAGCATAAGTGCCTATCACCAAGTCAATAAGAAAAAAAACCCTCTATGTATTTTATACTGCTGATCCCTTTTTAGTCCCCCTAATTCTCAAAATAAGACCACAGTTATCTTTCGTGTTCCCTGATACAGACTATTTCTCATCAACAAGCAATCACTATATGAGGCATTCTATATTAGCTATTGTCATAAATATAAAAGGAAGGGTAAACATCTTTAAATCCCTCCTGGCCAGAGGAAAAACCCTTTCAACTGTAAAGGGTTAAGAAGCTAAGACAACCTCGCTGGCACCTGACCAAAATGGCCAATGAGGAGACAAGATACTTTCAAAGCTGGAGTTGGGGGGGGGGGGGAGGGAAACAAAAGCTTCTCTCTGTCTGTGTATTGTTTTTGCCGGGAACAGAGCAGGAATGCAGGTCACAACTCCTGTAAAAAGTCAGTAAGCAATCTAGTTAGATATGCGTTAGATTCTGTTTTGTTTAAATGGCTGATAAAATAAGTGGTGCTGAATGGAATGT